AATATTTGGCTCCAGGCCACTCTCAACTGGGAATTGCCCTCAGCTTCAGGAAACTGCCTTGCCCAAGGTTACATCTCTTCCCAGGAATGAAGGCTATGGCAATACAGAGGCCCCACCTCCTTGTTTCCATTTGGGATACATAACTCTATAAAGAGCCATCTCAGTTCCAATCCCCCACTCAGGATCAGCTAAGGTCTCAGTTGCAAACTTAGCCGACCTCTTGCGTTGTTTAAAGTTTTGTTGTTTCCATCTTAATCATTCATGAATAAGAGCCTCCACATTTTGATTTTGCACTGGGTCTCAAGAATAATGTAGCCAGTCATGAGTAGGACATGTTCTTAGGAAAATTACATGAAAAGTGTGGCCAGGAAGAGAAATGGAGATGGGAAAAGGAAGAAGGACAAGCAGGATGCAGTATCAAGCTCAGGAGACACTATAGACCCACTTCAGAGTGGAACCAATGAAGGACACTTCTCAGTTACTGGTGAAAGCCTAGGAGTGGTGGTGGTTGTGTGCCTTGGAGTCAGTTCTGACTCAAAGCAACCCTGTATACAGAGGCTTTAGCGGTGATGATGGTTATGTGCTGTGGAGTCGGTTCTGACTCATAACGACCCTGTACAGGACTTCTGAAGCTATAAATCTTTATGGGAGCAGAAAGCTTCATCTTTCTCCCCAGAACAGCTGGGAGTTTCGAATTGTTGACCTTAAGGTTTCCTGAGGCTGTAAATCTTTAAGGGAACAGAAAACCTCATCTTTCTCCTGCAGAATCGCTGGTAGTTTTGAACTGCTGATCTTGAGACTAGCAGCCCAACTCATAACCACTATGCTACCAGAACTCCTTAGGGGTAGGGTTTATTGTTGGTTGTTAAGTGCCTTCAAGTTAGTTCCAACCCATAGCGACCCTGTACAGGGTTTCCAAGGAGCAGCTACTGAACTTGAACCACCGACTGTACAGTTCAAACCAACTTTGCAGTCCCGTGTATTAACCCACAGAGTCACAAGTCACTAATTGCCTAGTATGTTTTGTGCATAAGCAAACTGATTCTTATAGCTGAGGACGTGCCCTGACCAGATGTAGGTGTCATTGGGTAGGAATGAAAGGAAGGGGGCAATGTACACAAAACCAGAAAAGATCTGAGAAGATACAGAGGAGCAATGATAACTAAATCAAAAGAACACTGGATCCAGGGCTGTGGGTTGAAGCACAGTCTGGGGCTGGGCACTCTGGGTTTGAATCCTGACTGCCACTTATGAACTGCATGGCTTAATCTCCCTGTGCCTACCTTCTACGGTTGTCAAGAGAATTAATATATGTAAAGCACTTAGAACAACATCTGCCATGTAGGAAGTGCTGTTAAGTGCTAGTGCTTATTATTCGTGCCTCACTATTTATTAACTAGATCAGTGCTTCTCAAACTATCTGTGGCATTTTAAATTCAATCTGTTGCAGAATGATACATTTGTACAATATGATAATATGAAATGAATAGCGATAGAAAAAAACAAAATGCAAGGCCACTTTTATTACTAGATTCAACAGACATAAAATCACTGCAAATTGCTATAAAAGTTTCTACATGCTTATATTCCCTTTCTAACATATCCGATCACAGATGGGTAACAAACTGGTTCCGGACTGTCATTGTTCTATGGACCACACGAAATAGCCCTGAACCAGAAAGCCTTCAACAAACTACTTAAATTCTTGACATTTAAGTTTCCAGGTTTTTGTGAGGGACTAGTAAGCTGCTCTTTGGAAACCCTATACAGGGTCATCATGAGTCGGAACGGACTTAATAGTGCTTAACAACAAAAAAATGAGCACTGTGCTACTAACCACAAGGTCAGCAGTTCAAACCCACCAATAGCTCTGTGGGAGAAAGATGAGGCGTTCTGCTTGCGTACAGATTTACAGCCTCAGAAACTTTATAAAGGGTCACTTTGAGTAGGAACTGACTCGATGGCACCGAACAACAACGAGATTACATGGAATCCTGGTGATGCAGTGATTAAGTGCTTGGCTTCTAACTGAAAGGGAAAGGTTAGCAGTCACTCTACAGAAGAGAGATGTGCACTTTCCTTCTGTTAGGATGGTTATTGTTATTATCAAGCGCCATTGAGTCTGTTTCAACTTATAGTGACACTGTATAGAGTTTCTGAGTTGTGGCTAGTGGGTTTGTGCTGCTGATGTTGCAGTTCAAACTGACCTTACAGTCCAGTGCTTATCCTAGAGCGCCACACCAGGACCTTGGAAATCGTATGGGGCAGTTCTACTCTGTTCTATAGAGCTGATAGGAGTTGCAATTAAGTCAATGGCACCAAGTTTGTTTGTTTGTGTTAATAAGATTACACAGGTGAAACCACTTAGCATTAAAGTGCCCTGTGTAAAATGGCAGGTAGGAATAAATTTGTAATTTGAGCACAAAAAATATAAAATCCAGTATATGACCATCTTGGTCCTTGTTGGCAACAGGATTTTTGCATGTTTAGGGTGTTACCTTTGAACTGTCAGTATTTGTGAGTCTATTACACATTTCCTACCACTGTGCACAGTAGGAAGTGAAGGGCTTCCCTGACAAGCTGTTGCCCACTGTAAAAATGACAGCGTGAATAAGTCTGACTTCCTATAACTTCAGGTTGTTGTTGTTGTTGTTGTTGAGTGCTGTCGAGTCGGTTCTGACTCATAGTGACCCTGTATAGGGTTTCCAGGGAGTAACTGGTGAGCTTGAACTGCCGTCCTTGCGGTTCAAACCAACCTTGCAGTCTAGTGCATTAACCTACTCTCACTTACGGGGTTCATTAGGGAAGTAACAGATTCCAATTCAATATACAGTTCTTTGATCAGAACAGCCATCCATGCCCACCATTAGGACTCTCAGTTCCTCAGTTTAACCTCCAATCTGCTTGGGCAAGTGTTGTTATAAAGCACTGTCAATAAATGCCCGGGGGCACCCCACTCTAACAGCAAGCACTCAATGCTTAGGTCTAGTTTCTGTTGCCACAGTTTCTCTGCCACTGCATCACAGCCCTCTTCGTGTCCTTGACCTAAAAGCTTCTTAGAGCAGGAATCACAGATCCAAAGAACATACTCCACTCCTGTTTCCATATACCTTATATGGGCCTGGGGGTGGGGGTGGGGTGGGGGGGTGGAGACACACACAGTGATTCTATGGGATAAACACTGGACCTTGAGTCACAAGGTTGGTGGTTGGAGCCCACAACCACTGCTTAGGAGAAAGATGAGGCTTTCTGCAGCAACTAAGATTTACAGTCTTGGAAACCCTGTACAGGGTCACTATGAGTCTGAACTGATTCCACGGCACTTAGCAACAACATAGCTTGCATGCATGTCCCCACCAACACAAGCGTGCCATACCCTGTATTAGCACTATTAGCAAGCAGTCTACTCTCCATAATGAACTGCAAGCACCTTATTTGCATAGTTCTACGAGCGCTAGTGACATGGTAGAAATAAGGAGCTCTGGTAGCGTAGTGGTTATGAATCGGGCTGTGAACCGCAAGGTCAGCAGTTCGAAACTACCAGCTGTTCCGCGGGAGAATGATGATTGAACTGCAAGGTCGGTGGTTCAAGTTCATAATCGGCTCCTTGGAAACCCTCTATATGGTCGCTATGGGTCGGAATCGACTTTTAGATACCATTTGAAGTCTGAACTCTACGCATACTGGTTCTAAAGTTTGACCTTGTTGTTGTTTGTTGTTAAGTACCATCTAATAGTTTCCAACCCTGTTTATAGGATTTCCAAGGTGGGTATAACTACTGACCTTGTAGTCCAATACTTATTCTATCGTGCCTCCCATGTGTGGCCTTGCCTTGTTTATTTCTACCATTGTTGTTGTTAAGTGCCGTTGAGTAGGGTTCCACACATAGCGACCCTGTACAGGGTTTCCGAGGGTGTAAATCTTTACGGGAGTAGAAAGCCTCATCTTTCTCCCGCGGAGCGGCTAGTAGTCTCGAACCGCTGACCGTTAGGTTCGCAGCCCGATTCGTAACCACTACGCTACCAGAGCTCCTTATTTCTACCATGTCACAAAGGAAATCAGGGATTTAGGAATCTGTGATAAGTCTGTTGGGTGGGAAGATTTCGGCATATCTATCTTTGTTCCTTTTTCTAGACTTCTAAGTATTTTTTAGGGTGAACCCCATGATCTTTGTACAGTTCCCATCACCTTTAGCACTATGTCTGGCACATAACAGGTGCTCATCGAATGTTTATTGAATGGCTATATGAACAGTTTGAAGTTTGTGAAATAATTTGTGACTCTCCAAACTACTAGATCTTGAATCCACCAAGAAAAGAACTACCAAATTCAGTTAATTTTGCACTAACTCAGTCAGTTACTTGGGCACGCAGAGGTAGATTTCACCGGTGGAAGGGAAGAGTTGGAGGGGAAGCTCATGATTGGTAGGTGTATTTCAAATTCAACAATTCTCAGTTACAGTTTTACACTCTGGGAAACAAAATCTCTCCGTGGCCCTAGGGCTCTTTAAAGTTTACTGTTACTGTTTTCTTAAGAAATTCCTGGAGCAGAGCCTAACTTTTGTGTAGGGAGCTGGCAGCGGGCGTCTTCTGCGGCCCAGGGGACCGCTGGCAAACGGGTTTAGGAGGCGTTTGTACACGAAAGGAACTTCCGAGGACTCCCAGCAGTCCAGTGCAGTAGTCCGGTCTTGTTGGGGGCCCGCAATTCCAGGTCCTCTGTGAGAATTTGGGGAAAAGGGGATGATTAGACGTTCGCAGATCTTAACCAGTTCCCAGTCGTTTCCCTCTGCTGGCAGTGGAACGATAAGGGCTCCACGGATGAAATAAGGAACAACCAAGGAGTCTGGGCCAGAGGGAGGGCCAGGGCCGGAGGAAGGCGTCCTGGGCTGCGAACGGCTCGCCCGGGCGCCGCCGCCACCGCCCCGCCCGTCGGGCGTCCGCCCCGCCTACCCCGAGCGAGGCGGAGCCCGGAGGAGCTGGAGGAGGAGGCGGAGGAGAGGTCGGAGCTGTCTCCAGGAGCCCTTAGAGACCGAGTCCCCGGCAGCGACGGCGGGACAGCGCACCGGCAGGCGAGTGTGCACCGAGCAGCGGGCACGGGTGGCAAGTCGGGTCCCCGTGGGGATCGGCGCGCAGTGCGGGGCGTCGGCCAACGAGTTCTGGGGCCGCCTCCGAGTTCTCGGGGTTGGGAAGCGAGATGGAGGGAGGGAACGGAGGAAGGAAGGAAGGAGGGAAGAGTGTCCCAGAGGGCGGGGACTGATCGGGGCTCGGGGCGCCAGAGAAGGGGTGGAGGAGGAAGGGCGAAAGAAGCAAACGGGAGACTGAAACCGCGCTTGCGAGCCGCTGAGGAGGGCGCTGCTCCCTCGACAGGCGGCGGCCCGAGGGCGCGGGAAGCCGGGGGTCCTCCCGAACAGGAGAAGTGGACGCGGGCCCGAGGATGGAGGCGGGGGCGGGAGGGGAGGTCTCCCAGCTCGCTCCCTTGCTCGTGGGCTGGCTGCTGGGAGCCCCGCGAGTGATTAGATAGGCTCCCAGTGTTCCCAGTCCTTTGCTGGCGACGGTGCCAGGCTTTGGGGGAGGGCGGGCATTGGAGTGGAGTCGCGCGGCGGCATCTGGGGACGAAGGGGGACGCCACGCCCCTCTTGTCTACTTTTCTGCTCCGTCTTGGGATGAGCAGGAGGAACGCAACCCTGGAACCCGCTCTGCGCTGGGGTCTACCTGGGAAATAGCGGGTCCCTGGGAGTAGAACTTACATCCCTTAAGGACCCTCAAACAGTGACTCCAAGGCAGCCCTTTTGCACACTTTATTTGCAGATAGGGGAAGGATAGGGTCTTGGGTGAAATGTACGATATATCTTGAGTGATAGAGTATATAAGTATATATAGAGAAGGGGGGCCACTTTTCTCGTAAATCGAGGTGGCTTTTTTTTTAATTAAGTTAAAATCAGTTAAGCCTAATTTTAATTAACTTGCCCTAATAAAACCTGTTGTCCCTTACCTTTGTACCTCGTAAACCATTCATAACTTTGGAAAAGGAAGTCGTAATTTTTGTTAAACTGAGTTCCGTGGAGTGAAACTTTCAACACCTTATCATCTGATAAAAAGAACTGATGAGGTCTGACATCTTGTGGTCATCCTTGCTCAGGTGTGGTTGTATACAAACAAGTAGAAAGAGAAGGAAAATGGCCAAAAGCCAGAGAGAAGGGAGGACCCCCCCTCCCCCACGTGTCAAGGCACCTTTAATGGCTGCTCGGGTGGAAACAAACAGGGAATGTATTACATCTTGTGGAGTTGAACAAACTTCACATGATTAGCTTCCTGCCCATCAGTTATTTCCTCTCCCCTCTCCTGTCTTTGCGGACACTGTTTAAATTTCCTGGGGGCAGTTGTAGCTTCTCCTGAACAGATTGTCTATAATAAATCTCTTGGATGTTGTCGGAAGCAGAGTCTTTGTCTATGTTTCCTATTTTAAAAACATGGTTCGTCTTTGCTTTTAAAGTGTAGTCACTAGACTGCACCATTGCTGGATGCTTCTCAACTCTCAGTATAAATTATCACAGGATCCTGTACCTCGCTTTGGAGAACCAAGAAGGCAGGCACTGCTAGACGGACAGGATTGGATTTTACTATTGCCAAAACAATCATTCAAGTCAGTAAAAATTCAGTAAGGAGTCTTTTTTTCCCTAACCAAAATGTATTTATTAGCAAGTCCCTTTTCCAATAAACAGAAACATGCAATTCACACATATTTTTTAAAAAATAATCAAATATTTCATAGAGAGTTCCTTGGTGAAAGGACTTTAGAATTAAATGTTTAATTCCTTTAGCCCTAACAGTTAATCAGTACCATAAAATACTAGTTTAGGTCCCCAAAATACTGAACAGTCTAACTACTGTGCATTATAAAAAATATTTTTGAAATGGAGTAAGTAGTATTTTATACTGTGTTTAACTCCAGTAACTCTAGATACTGAACCTGATAGGATTTGTGTTAGAAAGGTGTAAATGTATATCATGTGAGTCTGTTTTTCACAAAAGACTGAAGAAATTAGTATTATAAAAATAATATTTTCTTTCTGGAAAGCTTCATTCTTATTTAAGAAAATAGCTCTCTAACAATGTTTATGGTGTTGGGCTTGTGTTAAGAAAACCTGGGTGGTTTGTCAGGTTAGGAGAGCTAAGAGTTTTACAGTAAAAAATAAAAAAAAAGGTTAAGGTTAGTAATTTTATTTTTTTACTTGTGAACCTCTCTCCTAGAGAAAAACCTTACAAATTTAGAATTATGTCATTTTACTTATTATGTTGAAATCCTCATAGAGAGAAAAAAGCTTGCAAATTTAGAATTATAGTAATTTACAGAATCAGATTTATATTAGTTGGCTTTTTTTCCTTTTATATGTCTGCTTAAACTTAACCTAGAAAGTTAAAGATGTAGAAGTCAGGTCCAACTGGGAGGATAAGCAGTTTAACTGTGGTTTGTGGTGTGGGCTTTGGTGTCAGACAGACCTGGCTGAGAATATTAGTTATTTAATCTTTCTCAGTCTGATCTTTAATATAGGAATAATGGTGGTCTCTGCCTCAGAGTTTTTATGAAAGAATATGAAGTTTTTATGAAAGAATATGAAGCATTTACAAAGTAAATGGTCAAAAATACTTGGCATTTTATCTATCTTGCCCAAACACAAAGCTCATGGATGAATTGCAAGATGGCAGCTTGAACTTTCTGGAAATGCTGGATAGGGAAATTTTAAATTTCAAAGGTGATAATAGATAGATAGATAGAGAGAGATATCACATATATGTATATTTATTTATATCATGCTTCTGCCACAGCAGTATGAATAACAGTGATTAATGGATTGCTAGTTTAAATATGCTTTTAGTGCTGAAATTTCAGTCATATAATATATTTAGAGCCAGGCAGTCAAAAATGTTTTATTAATTATCTTTAAATTTTTAAAGAGAATTTATGTTTCAAATACTCGTGTTTATGATCCCTGAATAGGAAACTATACTAGGACCAGAAGAAGTATTTGTCTTTAACCAAGTATGGTTTTTAATTACAGTGTAAAAAAAAAATGTATGACCTGAGGGTATCCGGTTATTTACTTTTTCATGTACTAATGTCTACTACTAACAGATAAGCCATTAAAAAGTGTTTAGGATTGATCATGAGGGCTTTATTTTTGCATTTCTGTGAGAATGGGTGTTCACTTAATTTGTGGGATCTACTTATCACATCATTGAATCATTTAAATATTTTAAAACATGCTTCCAATTTAAAACAAACCCTTACAGCTCTTCTTTTTTCTTAATGCACGTCAGGTGCACAGAATTAGACTGATCGTAATCTTAGCGCATGCCGCAGATGACTTCTCATTTTACTAATTGTTCCCCAGGGATGTAGAGATGGTGGTTTGTAATATTTTTAAATAACTCTGAAGGGGTACAGTGTTGTTATGCATGGTTTCTTGCCTATGACATTATACACTGAAACAGCGGAGGACTTGATTGAATGAACTATTGATTCTTTTCACTCCTAGGGCATTATAGATAGAATCCTGGCTCATGTTAATATCTCCTTGCACCAACGAGGTGCTGTGAGGAATAAGTGTATTAATCTATGTAAAGCATTTAGAACAGTGCCTGGCACATTGTCCATGTTCAATAAATATTAACATTAAATTATCATTTATTGAATTGCCCTTTTTCTTAAATGTTATACAATGAGAATGCTGTTTTTGAAATAGAAAACAATGGCTCAAAATTTTCATTGTTTCCAAAAATATAAAACAAACAAACAAGAAACCCTGTAACTTAAAGAGTGCTTCTCAAATAATAGAATATGATTAGGTAGCCGGCATTGCATCTCCTGGATGTGAAATGGATTGCAATATTTACTTAATTTGTCCAACATATTTATTCTTTTAGGTCTCAATCCAAGTTCCTTTTCTTATTAGAAGTTTTAAAAAGAGTTAGTAATCCATGAAGTCCATAGTATGATAGGGTAAGTAAGGGAGAGGCAGTGTGCATAGTTATAGTACATTATTACGATTACAAAGAGGTTAAAAGGGTTTTTTTCAAAATAGGAAACAAGACTAGAGGAAAATAAGTTCTAGAACAGTCGGTGGTAGGATGATGGTGCTTCTCCCCCACTCCTTTTTTTCTCTGTTTCTTCCCAGTGAACCTGCATATGTAACAAAAAGTAATTAATTTGTACAATAGTTACCCAATAAATATCTGGTTTACTGACTGCAAATGGATTTTGCTGTTTTGAAAAATAATACCAGCTTTCATGGTAGGTAACGGGTCTGTAAGTTAAATGACAAAACCTTTATCACCAGCTTTCATGGTAGGTAACGGTCTGTAAGTTAAATGACAAAACCTTTATCGTGAGAGTTGGCTTATGCTGAACAGGGTTCAGTGAAGCTTTCAGAATAAAGATGGACTGGAAAAAAAGGCCTCATGATGTTCTTCGGGAACTTAGCCAATGAAAACTGTAGGTCACAATGATGCAACTGATCCTG